ATTTTTAGTGTTCATAGCGACGTATTTGAATTTTGCCTCAGATGACGCTATGTTTTATAAATGAAGTGACGCAATAATTTTGAAGTGTAGTAAATAAACATTTGTGAAATAAATATTAAAAAAATCAAAATGAATAAAGAAACAAAATCATTAAACTATGAAATATTAAAAAAAAGAAATTAAATCAAAACAAATGAAATATTGACTTAGTTCCTGGAAAATATATTGATTTTAATATTGAAGACAATAATTCCAGTGAAAGTTGTTTTAGAAACGAAACAAAGGATGTTGAAAATAAAAAAACTGAAAACACTTGTGAAAAATTAGCTGTTATATTTAAAAACACAGGATTAACAGGCATTGTAGTAAAGATATTTTAGAACTCTTAAGATCAGAAGGTTTAATTGTACCAAAATCCTCTTCAACGCTTTTGAAACATATAAAACTTCAACAATTGATGATAGCGAAATGCTATAAATTATTTTATATTAGTTTTAGTTAATTTTAGATATGCTAAGTTATATTAAGTTAAATATTTAAATTAATTTGCATTACGTTTACTAGTTTTTACTAGTTTATTATTAATATCTTAATAAAATTTATAATAATTTATAATAAAATTTATAATTTACTTCTAAAACTGTTAATTTTGAATGTAATGTAAAAAATTATTATATAAAATAAATAAAAGTACAAAATACAACAATTTCTTTCTACTTATTTAAAGAGAAAATTGAAATTCATTTAAAATTTAAAGAGCGCAATAAAAGAGTAGAAATAAAAAAAGGGTGAAAAAATTATATGAGCACTGCACTAAGAGCGCACAACTTTCTGTCGAATGCGTCCGTTATGCAAGACATGGTCTTCGAGACGGTCTTCGAGACATGTACACAAAAATTCATTGAAGACATTTGGCTAATTTGTATGAAAGTGTCTTCGAAGACCGTCATACATTTGGATCGATCGGTCTTCATGTATGTATCCATGTCTTGAAGACGTCTTCGATGACGGATCGATCCGTTTTCTACTGGGTTTCTATGTTAGTTTTATATGTGTGAATCGAGTAAATTAATATTTTCAAATTTTAATTCTTTGCTTGCGGATTCGATATATTCCGATATTTCGTAATTTACTGGTTTAATATGTTTCACAAAATTCCATATTACGGATTCTTGATAAGAGTAAGTTTGATTATTAATAATAGTATAATTTTCAAAAGTAATTAAATATGTTCCGTTTAATTTTTGATTATTTACAATATTTTTGTCGGAGATCAATATATCTTGGTCTGTAATTATTTCTTATTCTTTATTATTCTTTATTCTTATTCTTTATAAAACGTAAAGGTTTTTCGTTATTTAACAAATTTCGGAGACAGGATTCTTTATTTCTTGTTTGACAGAATGTGTTATCGTTAGGTGAACCTGGAATCCACTTCCATGAATCAAGAAGAAAACTAGCATGTAAGAAAAGCTGTATTGAAGGTAACGTTCTTTGATATTTTAAAGGTACCGTATGTAATGTGCAACATTGGGTTGAATATTAACAATAAAAACGTGAGCCGCTCGTTTTAAGTGTAAAATATAGTAATATTAAATTTTTTTTAATAAAGTTAATACCATAATAATTTAATAATTTCAATGTAAAATTTACGTAATAAAAAATAAAATAGATAAACAAATCTCTCAACACTATTCCTTTGTTTTAATTTATTTTTTAGTTTAACGATAAACGATAAATGTTTTTATTTAGCAAGTTTTCCTTGTATTTATATTTGTATTGAATAAAATATTAAAAATGCACTTTAATCACAAAAAGCTTTTTCTTATTAACTACTTATTTAGTTTCTTGAATGTTTTATTTTCAAAATTATTTAATAATTTTTAAAATTTTTTTAATTTATTGTAATATACTTTTTTATTTTGTGTATATTAATTAACCTTTGTTGCAACTGATTTATTTAAGATACGATCACATTATATATTTTTAAGTTTTGCACATGTATTTTTAAGTAGAATGTGTAATGAATTTAAATATTCTAACTAATTTGTTCCAACTTTTCATACAAAATTTACACATTTTTCGTTGTGATACAAAAAAAAAATTTTATTTAACATATATATAAACATATATATATATATATATATATTTACATGTCAGGAATCTTTTATTATTTAATTTAAGTATTCTATTTCACTCAATACATTTACTCCAAACCTACTAAACCACAACACACATTGTACAAGATGACCGCCTGTCATCATCGACTGTTCAAAC